ACCAGACTTGTCCGTCTCTAGGCAGAGGGCAGGCAGGTGTCTTGGGCCCGGTGTGTGCTTTGTTCGCAGATCACAGCACAGCACATGTCTCAGATACCAAGACTTTATTGCATTTGTAAAACTGGTCTAGATCCAGCCTAAGATAGAGACCTCCAGCCAAAGCAAGGCACCCCCTGCTGCCACCCGGGCAGCCTCCAGCCTGCCAGATAACATCTTTAATATCTAGGGGGAAATGAAGCCTCTCGCTTTGGGTGCACATCTCTCCTATGAGGACAGACATTCTGTAACCCAGCTTCTGCTGTCCGAGAACTTCTTTCCCTCCTCCCACTTTTTCCAATTTATTTTTATTGGTTGAAGTACCAGACAGCAGATATAAAAAGGGATTCATTGCGATATCTGTACTCAAGTATACGATGTATCCCTTACCCACTCCTCCCCATCCCGCCTCCTTGTTTCATCGTTTCATTGTTCTACTTCCACACATACCAATAAACTACCTGATCATATCCATCCTCATTCCCCCGTGTTAACCCTCCACTCCCCCTCTCGTACCTACTTCTTCAACAGCCGGGTTTACTTTCCTGTCATGCTTTCCTGTTTGTTTTTACTGTGTATCAAGTGCACCAAGGTTGTCACTGTGATTTTACACATTCGTATATTGTTTTTTGTGGGTTTTTTTTTTTTTTTTTTTTTGGTGCATCTTGGGGCTTGAACTCATGGCCTGGGCTGAACTTTTGTGCTTAAGGCGAATGTTCTACCACATGATTCACAGCTCCCCTTCTGGTTTTCAGTGATTAATTGGAGGAAAGAGTCTCATGGACTTTTTTCTGTGCAGGCTTACAATACTCAGGTTTCAGCCTCTTGAGTAGCTAGGATTACAGGCATGAGCCCCGGGTGTCCGCTTTACATTTTCTGTTTCCATGTCCTACTGATCATTAGCTTTCACTGAGCTTCCTTATGCTGTTTTCAGGCAGCCTCTCTGGACTGATGTTGGTCCTTCGCCCGCCCCTTGAAAGACCGATGGGGTCGGAGGAAAGGTAAGTGCGCTGCTCCCCCGTTCCCCAGCCTCCCTTAGCCCCAGAGACAATCAAACGCAGCGGGAAGTCAAGTCAAGCAAGAACTCGTTTATTACCACACAGCAAGCACTTTTTAAAGCAAAAAACCGTGTGGCATGGGAGGAAAAGGAACCAGCCAATCACTGTAGAGGTCACCCTCTCATGCACCTAAGCTTTCTATACTTACCCTGCTGTCCACGAGCTTACCTCACATCCCCACCTAGCACAGTAATAAACGTCTGCTCCGCCAAGTTAGAAATGTCCGAAGCAGTTACTTCCGGGGCATATGTAAACATCCGTATCTCATAAGGTTGCCCTCTTTAAACCATGGGAGCAGCCTGGGTATTGGGGGTCCCACACATGAGGCACGGTGCATCCTCATGGACCCCCAACACTCATGTCATCCTTGGTGAAGTGGGGTCCAATCTCCAACATCCCAGGATCCTCTTAGCCAGATCACAGAGGTCAAAATGAAGAAGGTCAGGCCACCAGGTCGAAGGGACAGCTTCTCTTGTGGTGCTACTGATGATTTCTCCATTGCCAGCACTGATCACTGCCCAGGCTACCCATTGAGGTTGGTGTGGCATAGGGGCATTGCGGGGGACTGGGAGGGTCAGGACAGCCAACAGCTGGAGTATCGCCATCTGCAATTGTTAGGGAACACAAGAGCTTCTCAAGGGCTGGTTAGTAGTTATCTTTATAGCTTTCCTTCTTTTAAGGTTCCTGGCCAGGATCCAAATGGGGGCTGTCTCCCCTATGGGAAAAATGTATCCAAATTCCCTGCCCATGGTAACTAGGGGGTCAGGTCCTCTCCATTGTTGTCAGGGGGTCCTTCCACCTGACTTTCACTTGGGGCTTAGGGTTTAGTTGTCCCCAGTGCTTCTGAAATCTGGATTCAGTGGCCCCTTTTGAAAAATTTAAAATGTTAATGGTAAACGAAGCTATCTGTAACTGTATATGGGGGTTAACTCACCCTTTTTGTTTTAATAATTGTTCCTTAAGATATTGGTGCTTTCTTTCTATAATTGCTTAGCCTTGGGGATTATATGGAATTCCTGTAGTATGAGTAATATGCCATCTATCAAAAAACTCTGACATTGCTTTACTAACAAAACAGGGTCCATTATAGGTGGACCCAAGGTGGCAAAGCATTGAAGAAAGTGTGCTTGTGAATGTTTAGTTTTTTCTCCTGTATGTGCTGTGGCCCAGCATGCTCCTGAGTAGGTATCTATAGAGACATAGATATAGACATATATATTTAAGCTTACGAAAGGCTGGGAAATGAGCAACATGCGTTTGCCAGAGGACGTTAGGTTTAAGGCCTCTGGGATTTACCCCTAGTGGTTGTAACGGGGGTACTTTTAAGAAGGGCTGGCATGTTTTGCAGGTATGTACTATCCTTTTGAGGTCCTTTACAGGAATCTGAGGAAATCTATGTTGAAGACCTCTCCAATCTCCAATTAATGTGGGTTAAATCATGTGAACAGGTGGCCTCTTGTAACGTTAATGCTTGTGGGCCAGTAGCTAACTGGTCTGCCCAATTATTGCCTAGGGATAAAAACCCAGGAAGTTTTGAATGCCCTCTCAAATGTTGAATATGAATAGGGGCTCCCCTCCTTCTAATAGGCCCTTAAGGTAACCATAAGGGGGGAAATAGGGTTTTCATCCAGCTTAATATGTGCCTGGGGAATATGGGGGAGCAAGTTAATCATATAAAGGCTATCAGAATACACATTAAAGGGTTTTTGAATGTCCTGAAGGGCCATAATTACGGCCAGCATTTCTTTATATTGTGCTGACCCTTTATATTGTGCTGACCCTTGACAAGGTTGAAATCTTTGTTGGCTCGGGGTCTTTTGTTGCTCCTCAAAGGCTGCATACGCAGAGCCTGCCTTACCTCCGTCAGAAAAACATGGAGGGTGCCAGGAATAGGCGTAGGAGAAAATAGAGAAGGCATTTGGAGGGGAAGTTGCCATAACAAGACAGTCCATTTGGATGGCCCATAATGGCAGTCAGTTTGGCCTAGAAACCCCTCCAGGGAGAGAGCAAGATGAGCATTGGCTCCAGTGAGCACTCAACGAGTGAGCACTCAACGTCTGCCATCCGAAAAAAACAATGGAGTGAGGGTGGAGGTCATAATGCCTTTGGGCTTGGGTCCTTCCCTTGACAATAGCATCGGCAAGTTGGTCTGCTTGAGAGTACACCCGAGGTGTGCCCCCCAGGGGAGTGTGAACCCACTCTAATGGCTCCCCCCCCCTTTGACTTAAAACTGCAGAAATCAATGTGACCCCTGCAAACAACCCAAGGGAAATGGGCTCAGAAACAGAATACCTCCTCAGGGACACTTCATCCATGGCTTTTTGGAACTGCACAAGTATTGCACGATGGCTGTCTGTAATTATAATAACGTCTTGGGGCATCCTGTCTTTTAGTAAGGCAAATAAAGACACAAGACTATCTTTAGGGACAGAAACCCATGGCAACAGCCAACTGATTACCCCTAAAAGACTTTGAAGTTGGGTTAGGATCAGAGAGGCTGGAATATCCAGCAAAGGCTTAAGGTGGCTTAAGGTAAGGTAGGACCCGAGCACCTTAAAAGGAGCTACCTTTTGAATTTTATTGAGGGCTATGGTAAAACCCCCCTTTTTTAATATGGTATGAACCTGGGCCAGAAGGCCCTCCAGGCGTCCCGGGTCTTGGTGCCCCAGAATTATATCATCCATGTAGGCACAGGCAATGGAGGTATCTGAACCCAGCACAGGCCCTAAAAGTGTGGCCAAGTATTGGCAAAAGGCCGGGCTATTGGCCATTTCCTGTGGCAGCATCATCTATTCAAAGCTCGGATCAGGCTGAGGAAAATTAAGAGAAGGGATGGAGGTGTAGTAAGAAGACTCCCACTCAAGCATGCAAGCCCACCCAGTTGTCCGGAGTGACAGAGACCACCGCAACAAAGCTGTTTTTTAATAAAGAAGCAACTTTATTGAGAAGGTTCCTACAGTGACGGGTCAGGGTGGCTGGACAGGCTCGGGAGCTGATGCTGCGACTCCGAGTGGTCCCCATTCTCTGGTTTTTAAAGGCAAAATCCATGAGGTCAAGCCTGGTCACGCACAGGTGACCAATGGGATTGTACTACAGAAAAGGATTGTACTGTCATACCAGACCACACACAGGTGAGGTTTACTGTAAGCATGTGCAAAAGGTAGGGTTTACCCTATGCCCTGCAGCCCGAGGTGTTGCCAGTTGGAGCCAGATTACAACCTATCTGTTTTAAGGGTCTTTGAGAACTACACCAGCCAGGGCAGTTATTAGGGTTGTCGCCCATGGGGACCATGAGAAGAGAGACTATAACATGACCCAGTCCCTCAGACTCTTCTAACCTTGGCCAAACTTTCCCTAATACCTTGCTTCATGAGAAGAAGTCCAATCCCCGGTGAATTCAGAGAACTACCTCTGCCAATGAGTCTACCTGGCGGATCTAGCTGAACCAGCATCTAGATTGCAGTAGGCATACAGATAAGACATAAAGAATGTTCCACATCAGCGCACCAATCCCATTCCTTTTACTCTCTGCATTGATAACACTCAGTTGGAAGCAGGTTATTACCATACCAGAGCCAAACTAGGCTGTGACCCTGAAGTGCCACAGGCAGGCCAGTGATATCCTTGCCCCCAAAATCCACTGTGGCAGTAGAGAGGGTTTTTCGATATCACTAAAGAATGTCCCACAAGATCGTAGTTGTAGCAGCTTTCAACCGGGAAGCAGTCCCAGGTGATGGAATCAGGCAGGAGTTCAGTCTACTTTTACCACGGTGGAGGTGGTCTGGGTGACAATGTAGATTTCCTCCAGGTGACTGTCAGGCTGTCGTTGAGCTTTACCCATTAGGGTGTGCAGCAGCAGCAGCAGCAGCAGCAGCAGCAACAGCGTCTCTCAGTGGTTCCAAGGGACTGTCACACCTCATGCTGGGCTGCAAATTCCTACACAGACTGGTTAAGGACACAATACATAGGCTTGGCAGGCTGTGGCCCCATTCGTTTTTTAAGACTGTTTAGACAATAGCCCAGGACAATTTACCAAAATGGCATCTTTTTTACTAACCAGACATTTTTGTAAACAGACACAGAAGGCTGTCTTGTAACCATCTCCGACAGATGCAGTCTTCACACTTGCGTACCTGTTAACACTATTCTTTATGCCTTTTTCTTAAAAAATAGTAATAATTTTATCTATTTTGCCTCCTTTTTCCAAAGCTGACTCTGGACTCGATCTTAAAAGGGGGTAGAAGGGCAAAGGTCCATCTTCTGTAATGTCTTCAAGCTGACTTCAGGGGCGTTGACCCTACCTAGCCAGGAACCTATAACCTTAGCCTATTTTACAAAGAGACTATTAGGGTTAGATGTCATTAAGAACAGTATTTTAACTTTTGACGACTGCACAGCCCTTTTCTCCGGCTACAGCAGTGTAGCGTGTTTAGCACTCTGGTTTGCAAAAGCATCTCTCTGGATGGCTTGGGAATGTGATCTCTAGTGACTGTAACAATGCCTAAGGTACCTGGGCAGGCCTTCAGACAGATGTCAATAGAAACACTCTCAGATTTATAAACCCTTTTTTCCTGAGCAGATGAATTTCATGTAGTTGGTGTCAGCTCAGTTACTACCAGTTAGGGCTTTTGGCACATACAGGAGTTGAGATTTAAACTATCTCCCACATTTTATAACTTTAGCTTTTTATTTCTATCACAGAGGGTGGCAAGTTCCTGTCCCTTACAAGGTAGACAGTCATGGACATTAGGCATGCTTACAAACTATCTTCCCATGACCTCCTGGCTCTGACCAATTTTTGAAGGGCCACGCACAAATGACTCTAGATCTGACATTTCTGCCATCCAAGCAGTGGCTTACTGCCTCTGGATGCGCCTCCATTGCTCTTGTCCCAGGAGTGTCTTCTCCACACTGGGATAAATGCCTCATTGGCATTTCCCTTAGTTGGTTGCTGGACTTGAACTCGGGGCCTGAGTGCTGTCCCTCAGCTCTACAGCTCAAGGCTAGCGCTCTGCCACTTTGAGTCCCAAAGCAACCCTGCTTGCTCTTTCAGCACTCTGCTGGCTGAGTAGAGGTGACAGTCTTACAGGGACCTTTTTTTTTTTTTGCCCGGGCTGGCTTTGAACCAGTTTGCAGATCAATGAGTCTCATAAAAGGCCACTTTACTCCAATTAAAAGCAACAAGGTGATCAACATAGAAGTAGCTTTTAAGCATGCTTTTTTTTTTTGGGTCCGGTCGTGGGGCCTTAACTCTGGGCCTGGGCACTGTCCCTCAGCTCTTCAGCTCAAAGCTAGCGCTCTACCACTTGAGCCACAGCGCCACTTCCGGCTTTTTCCTTTTTGCGTATGTGGTGCTGAGGAATTGAATCCAGGGCCTCAGGCATGCAAGGCAAGCGCTCTACCACTGAGCCACCTTCCCAGCCCCTTAAGCATGCTCTTATCTGGAACTTAAGAGCCAAAGTTACATCTGACAAACTTGTAAGATTCCTCTGTGCTTTGCTCTGGGCTTGCTGGAAACTGTTAAATTTAACACATCACATCACTAATTTTAACCATCATGTTTCCGGTGTCTTGTCTGCAGGGAAAAGGGACAGAACAACGATGGGCCTCTCAGCCCCTCCTGTGGAATGGGCATGCACCCAATGCGACTCTTTAGGGTTAGATGAGCTGCGTTTGTGCCAGCTTGCCCTCTTTCACCATGCGTGGACCCCCCCCCCCCGGCCTGTTCCACCATGCATGACCAGCTGAACTGCACTTCTGCCTGCTCACCCCTAAAGATAGGTCTTCTGTTGGCTTCTAAGTTTTCCCCCTTTCTTTTCTCTTGGTTCTTGAATGAAACACAGTTTTAGACAGACAGAACAGGTAACGAACGCCTTTGACAGTGTTAAACTAACCTTTACATTTCAATTTCTAATATTTATCCCCAAATTTTAGCCAAGAGAACTAAATCCCAAGCAGCCAATGTATTTTTGTTAAGCCAGATAACTTGATTATAGTGTAAACAGCCTTACGCATTTTAAAATATTACATTTTAAAATACCAGATTTTCTAATTTTCAAGTTAAAGAATCCTTAAAAAGCCTTTTAAGACAATGTGAAGATTCTTTAAAATTTTTGGTAATGTCCAAACCTCATAACCTTTTGAATTTTAAACTTAAATTCACTCAATTGTTACAATTCCTATCTTGAACATGTTCACAAACACATACAAAACACACAGATCCCTCTGTACAGTATTTTCACAATAAAAAGAAATTTTGTTCATGAAAAAAAAAAACACCCACACAGATCTTAAAGCGTGCAAAACTCAAAATCAGTTGTACGTACATTTTCTAAATTAAGACAATAAATTCAGCCTGAGGCTTGAAGGGGACCAAACAGCAACCTAGTCCTGTGACCTTCCATGCCTCACAGGGAGGAGGGCATAGCAGGTCTGTGACCGAGCCTAGCTGGAGGCTGGAACTTTTATTCCCGAGATGTTCGAATAAATAACAAAACCAACACAAAAACCAAGGATCCACATTTAAAACTGGTACCAATTCTAAAACAGGACAAAACAAGACAACAACCAAAGGCTGAGTTGGGGACTAATGGGCCCCCAGTTCATTCCTACCAGAACTCTGTGCTGTTCCCACTCAGCAAGCTGAATCCAGAGCCTGCTGAGTGAGCTTCCACTCACCCAGAACTCCCCCACCTAAGAAAACACACCAAAGTAAACAAGACAGACAAGTAGCCACAAAGACAAGTTGTAGTAGGAAGACCCCTACTCAGGCAGGCAAGCCTGCCTAGTGGTCAGGAGTGACAGAGCCCACCGCAACAAAGTTGTTAATAAGGAAACAACTTTCTTGAGAAGGGTCCTGTTAGGTTTTTAAAAAGAGGTAGCCGAGTAAGAACAGCACCACGCACGTGGTGTTCAGGTAAGGGGTAGGTTTATTCAGTAGACCTGCTGGGACCAGGCAAGGTTGGCACTCCACGCGGCTGGCAAAAGAGGGCGTCTGGCCCTGGGTTAGGCCTTATATAGGGTAGGGGGCGGGAAAGGTGTGTCCAGGTAAAAGGAAGTGGGATCAGGTGGGAGAAAGGTGTGGCCACATCAGGTTAAGATGTGACCTCAGCGGATGCAGATGTGACCTCTTCCAGGGGTTCCAGTTGCCTAGGTAACGCAGGTACTGGGCGAGGTCTGTTCCCCGTCCAGGAAAGAACTGTTCCCACACTGACTGGCCAGGGCCGCAGCACAGGCTTGGGAGCTGATACTGTGACGCCCTCCCAGTGGCCCACCTTTGGTTTTTAAAGGCAAAATTCACGAGGTCAAGCCTGGTCATGCAGGTGACCAATGAGACTGTCACACACCCAAAAGATTGCAGTCATACTGGACCACATGCAGGTGGCCAATGAGGTTACAGTTTGTCACATTATGGCTGTTTAAACCAGCCTATCACTTTTGGTTTAAATGACTCACAAATTCAATGGTAAGGCGGAGCTTACAGTAAGCATACACAAAGGAGGAGTTTACCATAAGCATGTGAAAAAGGCAGAGTTTATGGTAAGCTGGTGTTGTTGCCTGTCTGAGCCAGATTACAACCTGTTTTAATGGTCAGTCCTTAACGGAACAATTAAGGTGGGTTAGGTTGTTAGGGGGAGGGGGTACCTAGAGGCATTCTTTCCATTCCAGGAACTGGGCTGGTTGGGGCCAAGGTCTAGTTAACCTTATTTTAAGTTTTTTTTTCTAAAATCTCTAAAACAAAGGCAAAGCCTGGAAAGAAGCTGTGCCAGCTCAAGTCTCCTCTCAGGGCCTACTTCAAAGGCAAACTTCTCGGAGTCATCCGGATGCAGGGGGATAGAAAAAAAACAATCTAAAACAATCTTTAACATCAACCACAACCAAGGTATATTCTGAAGGTGTAGCGGGAATCCAGGGCACGCCTCTTAGGGGTGCTCCTACTGGCTCCAAGCTTTCAGTTATCTTACCTAGATCTTGGAGCATGCGCCAGGCCCTAGGATGCTTTTTGGATAACAAACACAGGGGTGTTCCAAGGGCTCTTAGAAGGATGTATATGCCCATGGTTTATCCGTTCCTACAAAAGGTGGAGGGCTACAAGTTTAGGTCCGGTCAATGGCCACTGCTCCACCCAAATAGGGCTTCCCGGTTTCCACCTAATGGGAGGTACGGGGGGGGGGGGGGGTGGAGTGGCCTTTAGGATTGGGGGTACACCCGAGTGGGTCCCTTATGTTCCTCTCTGTAATTATCAAAGTTAAAAAAATCCTTTTCCTTAACTCCCTCTAGATCCTATTTAGGCCTTTGTGCTTCTTCTCCATCTAGGATATCACCATAGGATGCTCGATGACCCGTAGTGACCACGGCATCCATTTGTCTTAGCATGTCTTACCCTAGTAAGTTAGTGGTGAGGTCTTTTGCCACTAAAGGTCGTATCTTTCCGTGTTCTCCATCTGGGCTAGTCCATTTCATAAGGGCAGCTGTCTCTTTGGACTGGGAGTTGCCCCCTACCCCCAATATCGGGGGCCCGGGTGCAAGCTTCCAGTCCAAGGGCACTTCCTCCTCCCTGAGTACGGTTCGATCTGCCCCGGAGTCAATTAAACAGTGAAACCTCTTCCCGTCTATAAAAATACTCATTTTAGGGCGGAGTCCTTCCACCAGGGGGAAGGTCCAATGGGCCTGGGTCGCCCTGCCATGAGGCTGCCTGGGCCTCACAGCAGAGGGGGTTCCTCCTTGAGTTAATGGGGCTGGAGGATGCCCCTCCCCTAGTTTAAAGGCTTCCCATCTAAATGAAATTTGGATCGACAATCCTTTTTCCAATGGTACCCCTTCCTGCACCTGGGGCAGGAAGTAGGGGGCGGTTTGGACCCCCCAGGCCGGTTGGCGGGGGATTGTTGTGGACAGTCCCTCTTAAAGTGGCCCTCCTGTCCGCATTTAAAACAAGTCCCTCTCCCCAATGGTCTTGAGGTCCCTTGGCCCTGGGCTGCCAGCGCCTGGGTGATAGCCTCAGCCATCGCAGAGGTCTGAGCCTGTAAAGCCAATGCTAGTGATTGGGAAACCAGTAGCTTTACAAACTGATCCCGGAGGTCCCCTGCCGGCAGCTTGCGGTGAATACTCTGCTGGACTCGGTCTATGAAATCAGGTAGAGGTTCACCTGGTTTTTGTCTCACTCCTGCTATGGGGGACTCAGTGGGCCCTTCATCCAGTTTGTACCACGCGGCAAGTCCTGCCTGCCTCACCTGGTCACGGTACGGGCCAGGTATAGCAGCCTGTTCGACGCCAGTGGAGTACCCTTCCCCCGTCCCTGTTAACATGGCGTAAGTAATAGGTATTACGGGTTGAGCCTGCTGGTTATTTTCTGCCCGCACTCTGCATTCCTCCTCAAAGAAGGCACACCATTTAATAAACTGAGAACTGGTGAGGAAGGCTTTGGCCACATCTCGCCAGTCCTTAGGGACACATGGGTGATAGGCAATGTCCTGTAATAGGGTCTGGGCCCAAGGAGAGTTTGGGCCATCCTCTGCCACCGCCTTGCGGAGCTCTTTAAGATCCTTAGCTTCCCATGGATACCATTCCAAGGGTCTGTTAGCTCCTGGTGCCAGATTGACCGGATACGCTTGGGGAAGCGAATCCTGTGGCCTAGGGTTTGGGCTCCTGGGTGGCCCCTCCTTTACACGGGAGGCCTCTGCATAGATTACTTCCCCAGCCCTCAGCCCCTCCGTGGAAGGTCTGTAGGGGTCCGGGTCTGGCAGGTCCCTGTGTAAGGCTACGTAGGGCGCTATACCTTCCCCCTTTTTGGGGGCATAGGGTGGGGGCCTAGGACCGCCAGGGGCACCCGAGTCAGGGGGGGTAATCTTCACCCTTGTTTTGACTTCCACTGTGCGTGCTTCTGTCTGATCAGTGTGTTCTCGGTCGAATTTGGCCCATACCTTTTCCTCCCCACTTCCCAAGTCCTCCTTCTGCGAGATAAAATTACCCATACTATACTAAGGGTTTCACTTACCCTGAGAGACCGCTTAGCCTCGGCTGATATATTTTCCTTTCGGGCCCCACGTTGGACACCAGGTGTCGGGTCTTTCCCCTCCCTTAGCCTCAGAGACAATCAGAGGCTGTGGGGAGTCAAGTCAAGCAGGAGCTCATTTATTACCACACAGAAGCACTTTTCAAAGCAAAAAAACCCGCATGGCCTGGAAGGGGAGGAAAAGGAACCAACCAATCACTGTAGAGGTCACCGTGTCACGTGCCTAAGTTTTCTCTACTTTGCCGTTCACGCACAGTCGCCTGGTTGCGGTATCCAATCAGATTGACAGGAACGATCAGGCTCTGCCCACTGACTCCCGCCCAGCGCCATCTTGGCTGCCCACGTGCCCCGCCGACCGCTCCGCCCCAGAGCTGCGCGGGCCGGGAGGGGGGCGGGCAGGCGGATCCGGGTGCGTGGGCCCGTCCCGCAGCGGCCCCGCGGGGACACAAGTCATAATGCAAACCGATGCAAGTCGTGAGGGCCGGAGGAGCGGAGCCCGCGCGCGCTCCGCGGTGCCGGGGAGGGGAGGAGCTCAGTTTCCTCCCCTTCAACTCCGGCCCTCGGCCTCGGGCTCCGCCCTTCGGCTCCCGCCCGAGCCCGGCTTTCCTGATGGTTAGAGATCGGACTCTGGCCAGACTTTCCCGCCCCGGTTACCTTCCCCCGGCGTCCTCCGGGCCGCGGCCTCCCGAAGCGGCTGGGATTGGCAAGCCGTGCCGAGCAGTGGCGGGAGCAGCGGGTAGGCGGGCGTGGCGGGGAGGGGACGGGCCCTGGGCTGCCGACGCCGCGAGTCCGGGCGCGAGCGGCCCCGGGGCGCCTGCTTTCCCCGCGGTCGTCGGGCCGGGCTCCCCTTCCCAGCGCGGGCTGCCCTGGCCCCGCCCCTCCCGCCGGGCCCCGCCCCTCCCGCCGGGCCCCGCCCCTCCCGCCCGGCCCCGCCCTCCCGCCCCGCCCCGCCCGTCCGGCCCCGCCCCTCTGGCGACTCCGTGAGGTCATCCCAGCGCGTCTCCTGGCCTGGCGCCCAGGCGCCGCTTAGTGACGTCGGCTCATTGACAGCGTGGGGCGGCGCCGGCGGCGGCGGCGGCTGCCGTGGTGGCTGGCGGCCGGGTACGGGTTTGCCTGGTCTCCCGGCGGTCCGGGGCGGCCGCGGGGGGCGCGGGGGAGGCCTGGCGGGGTCCCGGGCCTGGCGGCGGTCGGGGCCGGGGCCGCGCGGGGTGGAGGCCGGCGGGGGCCGCGGCGCGGGAGGCGGGCGGCCCGGGGCCCGGCGGGCCCCGCTCACCGCCGTCCCCTCCCGGCGTGCCCGTGCAGGTGCGCCATGTCTAGACTGGGGGTCCTGGGCGGCGCCCGCGCCGGACTGGGGCTGCTGCTGGGCACCGCCGCCGGCCTCGGCTTCCTGTGCCTCTTCTACGGCCAGCGGTGGCGACGGACCCAGCGCCATGGCCGGAGCCAGAGCCTGCCCAGCTCCCTGGACCACGCGCCGACGCCGGAGTCCGGCCGCCAAGGTGAGGCGGGGGCCGCGGCGTGCAGCCGGCCCCGCGGGAGGCGGCGGGGCGGCAGGAAAGCCCGCTCCGGGTCCCCAGGGAAGAGGACGGAACAACTGGGGCGCTGTCGGTGTTAGCCCTGGCCGCAGCGAGCGACCCCCACAGGTCTCGCAGGCAGTGAAGCACGAGGCTCACGTCTTGAATTAGGTGCTAGACTTGGGAGTTGGGACACCCATCCGACGTTGCTGCTGCTTTCCTAATCTTTACGAGCAAACAGATTCAGAGGGATTGTGTAACTTCTCTGAGGTGGTCACAGAGGTGGCAAGGTTGGGTCTTGTCCCCTGGTCCAGTGTAGGCACGCTACACGGCGTGGTGTGGCCTCAGCTGCAGTGGGTTGTGCCTTTTGCTTCCTAACACCTGCAGGTTTACTCCTCCGACCAAATCATCTAGGGTTTGCTGAAGCCATTGCTCCTAGATGATCTCATTTCATGTTAATTGGAAATGAGTGTGTCCTCTAGCTACCTGTTTTAGGAGTTTCGGAAGATTCTTCCCGGAGTTAATCACGTCTGATTGCAGCAGGCTGTTAGCCTTTGCCATGGTGACGACATGGTATGGCAGGTGTGCGGTCTTTCTGTGTATTCATTTGTAATTTTTTTAAGAAGTGGTCTACTGGGGGCTGGGAAGGTGGCTCAGTGGTAGAGCGCTTGCCTCGCATGCATGAGGCCCTGGGTTCGATTCCTCAGCACCACATAAGCAAAAAGAAAAAAAGCCGGAAGTGGCGCTGTGGCTCAAGTGGTAGAGCGCTAGCCTTGAGCTGAAGAGCTGAGGGACAGCGCCCAGGCCCAGAGTTCAGGCCCCACAACCGGACCCAAAAAAAAAAAGAAGTGGTCTACTGAGGTTGGGGGAAAGTGGCCACATTTCCATCTTTCTTGCTCTACTTTTTTTTTTTTTTTTTGCCAGTCATGGGGCTTGAACACAGCGCCTGTCCCTGAGCTTCTTTTGCTCAAGGCTAAGACTCTACCATTGAGCCACAACGCCACTTCTGGCTTTTTCCGTTTATGTGATACTGAGGAATCGAACCTAGGGCTTCATGCATGCTAGGCAAGCAGTCTGTTATGAAGCCACATTCCTAGCCATTGCTTACATTCTTGAACACTGTTGGAAATGTACTGTGGTTGGGCCAAATTACCCATAACGGAGGAAGTTATGCTGCATGTTCTGTTTCTGCCTTGACTGTGCATTCTTCAGCTCACGTCACTGTTAGGACACACATAGAGCCCAGTTCAGGTAGGATGGGGATGAGCTTCTGGGGTCTGACGGGGCTTTTTCCAGTGCTGCTCCTTTTCCTTTTTCCTGTCCCTGATATAACCGAATGAAGTTCTCAAGAGAAGTGGAGTTTCCTTTACTATTTGTGAAGTGAGATCAGAATTTGACGGAATTGATGGGCTCAAACTGGTAAATCTTAGCTTTTCTTTCAGGAGGTTGAGGTCTGCAGATTGTAACTCAAAGTTAGCTGAGGTGGAAAGTTCAGGAGACACTTAATTCTAGGTAACCAGCAAAAAGTCAAAAGTGGAGCTGTAGTTCCAATGCTAGACTGTCTGTCTTGAGTTCAAGCCTCAATTAGAAAGGAAAAAGAATTTGAAGTTGGGCAGGAGGCTGAGATCTGAGTATCACAGGATGAAGTCAGCCCTGACAAGCAAGTCCATGAAGCTTTTTTTTTCCCCCTACCAGTACTGGGGCCTGAACTCAGGGCCCAGGCACTGTTTCTGAGTTGCTTTTGTTCAAGGCTAGCACTCTACCATTTGAGCCACAATGCCTTTTCCATTTTATGGGGTGCTAATGAATCGAACCCAGGGCTTCAAGCATGGTAGGCAAGCACTTCCACTAAACCACATTCCCAGCCACTCCATGAGACTCTTATCTGCAGTTGACCATCAAAAGCTGGAAATTGACCTGTGGCTCAAGAGTGTTAGTCTCGAACACAAAAGTTCAGGGACAACTTCAAGGCCCTTAGTTCAAGCTCTAGGACCAGCGCATGCGTGAATACACACACACACACACACACACACACTTGAGTACCCTGTTTTACTGCCTGGTTTGGGCACTCTAATGTTACTCCTGGGCGGCTCTCTTGCCTTCTGGGCATTGCATCCTGCAAGCATTTTACATTATCTGTGGTGTGCAGCGTGACTTCAGAGCTGTACAGCGAGCAATTCTCAGAGAAGATTGGAACCTTAGTGTTTTTCTGGTTACTTGGAACTTGTTATCACAAATTGTGCTCTTGAGTATACGGTATCTGAGCCTCAGGGTTGTCTCTATAAATTGAACTCCAGTGAAAAAGGAGTATTCTAGAATTGTAGGTGTGAGAACTCCCCAGTGTATCTCATGGGTATCTGTGTCTCCTGTCCCCTGTCCTTCAGTGATACGGTCACGAGCCATCCCAGGGGAGGCTGGAGATGCTGCGGTGCTGCCCAGCCTTCCACAGGAAGGGCAGGAGAAGGTGCTGGACCGCCTGGACTTCGTGCTGACTAGTCTTGTGGCACTGCGGCGGGAGGTGGAGGAGTTGAGAAGCAGCCTGCAAGGGCTTGCTGGGGAGATTGTTGGGGAGGTCCGGTGAGTAGTGCAGCTTCCTCCCTGTTATTCCTCCCCCTATCCCCTCCTCTTCCTTCCACCAATGCTTTTTCCATGGTTTGGGGCTTTGCTGTCTTTTTTTTTCTGTTAGTCCTCAGGCTTGAACTCAGGACCCGAGCAATGTCGTTGAGATTCTTTTGCTCAAGGCTAGCACTGTACCACTTGAGCCACAGCGCCACTTCTGGCTTCTTCTGTTTATGTGATGCTGAGGAACCCAGGGCTTCATGCATGCTAGGCAAGCTCTCTGCCACTAAGCCACATTTCCAGCTCTTGCTGTCTTTCTGTAAGAAAGAAGACAGGGTGTGTGTGTGTGTGTGTTTGTGTGTGTGTGTGTGTGTGTGTGTGTGTGTGTGTATGTACGTACTAGGGCTTGAACTCAGGCCTGGTGCTCAAGGCTAGAGCTCTACCACTTGAGCCATAAGCTCCTTTTTCAGCTTCTTTTGTCAGTTAATTGAGATGAGTCTCGTGGACTTTCTTGCCTGGGCTGGCTTTGAACTGCTATCTTTGGATCTCAGCCTCCTGATTACAGGCCTGAGCTACTGGCACCCAGCTCCCAGCTGGAAAGCCAGATCTATAGTTTCTGACTTAATGTTGGAGGAAGCTGCTGTTTGGCTCCTTATCTTGTACCAGCTCCTGGTTGTTGGTCTGTTTTACCAGATGGAACTCCTTGTTCTGCCCAATCTAGTTGGCCAAGCTGCCTGTGCCCGGGGGGATGCTTTGTGCTCTCCTGACGGTGGAGACCAGAGGCTTTTTTGGCCTCTGACTGTTTTGGCTCCTTTCTTATTTTCTTATTTTATTGTTATTTTAGAGGTGATGTACAGCAGGGTTACCTTTGCACATGTCAGGTGTGAGTACATTTATTTCCTTGTGGTTATGTTTCCTTGTCATCCCCTCCCTCCCATCTCTGCCCATGAGTTGTTTGGTTCACTTTCCACGCTGCTGCGCTCTTCCGTCCCCCGACCTTCCCTAGATGTGCATGTGCATACACCGTGTAGAGGGGAAAGAATACAGTCATCTAAAAAGACAAATTAAGAAGCAGTCCTTCGTTTCCTTATCTTTGGAGATTAGTTCAGGGTTCAGTGTGTATATTATATACAGATGAAAAGGTGCTTGGGTGTTACAATTTGGTGCTCTTCTCTTTTGGTCTCCATGTAAGTGGGTGTCTAGGATCCTGTGTACTATGCCATATCCCATTGCGTTTTAAATCTGACTTCTGCATATTGCGGAGAGCAGGTGTCTTGGCTCCTTTAGTGAGGGGGAGCAGTCAGAGTGAGGGGAAAGGCAGCTGATGAAGCCTGTGTTCCAGATGGCACATGGAAGAGCACCAGCGAGTGGCTCGGCGGCGCAGGCTCCCATTTGCGCGGGAGAGGAGTGACTCCACCGGCTCCAGCTCCATCTACTTCACAGCCTCCTCAGGAGCCGCGCTCACGGACGCCGAGAGCGAAGGGGGGTGAGTCATCTGCCCGCAGGCAGGCGGGGCTGCAGGCAGCTGTGTTGGCCAAAGTAGTATTTGTCGGTGGGAAATTCAGAGTAAGCCGCTGTAAATGATCAGGGTGTGAGTAAATCAGCTGAAGTAGCACCTATATATGTCATTCAGACAACTAGAAACGTTAGCAATGGTGCATGTGTTATTTTCCATGTCACTTTTGTTGTTTGTTCTGTTTATTTGAGAGAGAGCCTCACGCATAGACCAGCCTGGCATTTTTTTTTTTTTTTTTTTTTTTTGTAGGTCATG